GCTTTCTTCACATCCTTGCCATCCCCTCACCAGAAGTCTCGGGGCAGTGACTCTACATCACTAGTGCTGTGGTGGCACCTGTGTCCCCAAGTCCTGATATCCTGTCTCTATGGTAATCCACCGAGATGCACCTGAAAACACCAGTGACCTCACTTTCCCAGATTCCCAGAAGGAAGGGCACCTGGCGCGCAGTCTCTAGTCCTACGGAGAGGGAGGTGAAAGTTCTCCCAGCCTCCATTCACACCTTCATTTTATACCCATTAGGCCCGCCTTGCTCTCTTAGTAGACTCAGAGGGGAGCAGGAGCCAGGTGAGGACTTCCTGTTCCTAGGATGACTGGAGCCAGGAAATCAGTCTGGGCCTCTGCCGCCCCCGGGGAGCGCACAGAACACAGGCAGGCGTGAGGGGCCTGGGCCTGCGCAGGGTGGGGCTCTAAACCCACAGTCCAGGCGAAGGGAGATGAGTTGGGCAGACAGCAATTCTGTGCGCTGAAGACTGGTGGCTGCTGTGGGCTACGGCCTCCGACCTGTGAGCATGTCAAGGCCTGATGATGGTCTTCAGGTAAATGCCCTAATGATCAGCAGACCAGGGGGGCAATGGCGGAGGTTGGGGACAGCACCCCCTATCACAAGGTCTTGACCAGGCCATGTTAATCTTTTTAATGGTAAAGATTATAACATTAAAGGAAATGTTTACAAGAGAAATAAGAAATCGTAGACCCTTACTGCTTTAACACAAATCCTGATCTCTTCACTGACTTGCACCTACAATTTAGTGTCTGCTCTTTTTACTTAACATTATCCCAAACAGCAGCAATGTGAAAGTTATGATGAGGAGAACAGGGGCATTTGAAGTGGAGCAGTATCTCTGCAGGGTCCTTGCCTGGAACCGCCACAGGCTTCTGGGTAACAGACGTGAGGGGGCTCCTTTGGTGGGTGCAGGCAGCGGAGCCTTAGTTCATGTCTCTAGCTGGAGCCCTGGGCTTGGCTAGGTTGGGCTGTGCGAAAATTCCAAGAGAATTCTGCTGGTAGAAGATGCCCACCCTGTCCCTACAGAAACAGCACAACGCAGGGCTGGTCTATGTACAACCACGTACCCAAAGGAACATGGTCAAGGGACTGAAGGCCGGTGTTTAAGGACCACGTTTTACTCTGATTCCTCTCTGCCTTGCTTTCCCCAAGCTTCTGTATCCACCATACTGGAAGCTTTCTGAAAGAAATGCCTGGGACCTCACCATTGTCCTCCCAGCCCAGGATCAGGCAAAAGAACTTAACAAATAATGGCCAAGGAAATCCTCGTCTAAAATGTCTGCTGTCCGCTACTGCCCCAGCCCCTGGGCTACTTTGTTACTTCTGCACATGAAACCACCAGGGGGCAGGCTGGGTTCACAATGAGACATTTTCTCCCAGAGAAAATTGGTCACATGTGCAAAGACCCGCTTTCAGAGCCACATGCCCACCTCCTTGCACTCCAGGGCTTTGTTCTCATGGCCTCAGCTGTGCCATTGGCCGAAAGTGGGCGAGAGGAGGGGTGGAAGACTCCTGCATTATTTCAGAGTTGGCTAGGCCCTGTGTCCTTCAAATTCAACACCTACCACAGTGCCCAGACCACACCACATTCAAGAGTATTTAAATAACGGCCGTATGAAAGCGAAGTGGTAAGAAACGCAAAGTAGAGCAGCTGTAGGGGCGGGAGCCGTGCATGGGGCAGAGGCTGTTCTGTGACCACATCAGGTCTGGAGCCCTCACACTACCTGGAACTCCTGCAGGCCCTACGATGCCTCCTTCCATACCCAGAGCCTCGGAGTGGTAAAACAGATGTTCAGTGAGCGGGCTGAGAATGAGGGCAGGTGTCTGGAACGCGTTCAGGGGCGGGAGAGGAGTGACATAACTCACAGGTACGCGGAGCAGAACTCAGGCTACAAAGGCCACAGGTTTCATCCCGGGCCTGCAACTGGGATCCAGGGGCAGATACTAAACCCAACCTGGCAGGCCCTGCTGAGCTCACTCACTCTCACCAGCAGAAGACCAGTCCTGGCCGCTCTCTTACCCTCAGGCCATTCACATACTTTTGTGTTTCTACACAGGTAGTCCATATTTATTATAAAAAGATGCCACATCACTCTTTATTGGACGCCAGTGTCAGCACCAGCCCCCTTCTTTCCGGGCACAGGGGCACGTGGCAAGGGGCTCCGTCCCCTGGCCAGGATGCAGTGAAAGCCTGTCCCCACCACCTCTCCTTGGGCCAGCACCCTCCTCGGTGCCTG